CATCCTGTGTTCTACTCCAAGCTTATATTGTCCTGGGTAGCTTTCCATGGGAAATTTATTGAAGACATTGCTTGTGATGTTAGCAGCACTGTAAGTTTAATTCCTCCAATATTGATTGTTTGACTACTTAAAGCAACAAAAGATAGGTTTAGTTATCTTTTTTTCCTTTTTTTAATAAATCAATTTTATTTAGTATTTATGAGAAGATTGAGCTATCCCTAAAGGAGAGGGGGCTGATTTCCCCAGTCATACATCTCACACTACTGGCCTAGGAAGTGATGCTATAGAAATTATTTCATATCTTTTTTAAAAAAAAAGAAAAAAAAACCTTGTATTTCACTGACATGCATCTGATATGCCTATCCACTGGAGTTGGGTGGCCAATACATTCAAATGAATGAATGAATACAGACACACACACACACACACACACACACACACAGTACTGTGTAAAAGTTTTAGGCAGGTGTGAAAAAATGCTGTAAAGTAAGAATGTTTTCAAAAATATATATTGTAATTGTTTATGTTTATCAATTTACAAAATGCAAAGTGAGTGAACAGAAGAGAAATCTAAATCAAATCAGTATTTGCTGTGACCACCCTTTGCCTTCAAAACAGCATCAATTCTTCTAGGTACACTTACACACAGTTTTAAATGCTGTAAAGTAAGAATGTTTTCAAAAATATATATTGTAATTGTTTATGTTTATCAATTTACAAAATGCAAAGTGAGTGAACAGAAGAGAAATCTAAATCAAATCAGTATTTGCTGTGACCACCCTTTGCCTTCAAAACAGCATCAATTCTTCTAGGTACACTTACACACAGTTTTAAATGCTGTAAAGTAAGAATGTTTTCAAAAATATATATTGTAATTGTTTATGTTTATCAATTTACAAAATGCAAAGTGAGTGAACAGAAGAGAAATCTAAATCAAATCAGTATTTGCTGTGACCACCCTTTGCCTTCAAAACAGCATCAATTCTTCTAGGTACACTTACACACAGTTTTTGAAGGAACTCGGCAGGTAGGTTGTTCCAAACATCTTGGAGAACTAACCACAGATCTCTGGTGGATGTAGGCTGCCTCAAATCCTCTGTCTCTTCATGTAATCCCAGACACTCGATGACGTTGCGATTAGGGCT